GGGGGGGGGGGGCTGAGTTTGTCGCTGCAGCGCCTCTCATCTCTCTCTGTGTTTGCAGCTGAGCTCCACAAATTTGTCGATTTTTACTATAAAAAAAATTATTGGAGTCATACAAACAAAACAATTCACTGGGGAAAAAATCTTAATCTTATCATATGTATTTTTTTTACTTTTAATAAAAGCTGTTTTCATTGGACTGTGACCAGTGAAGCTCTGCCTCCCTGGCCCGCACGTCCATGGTACAATTGTGGGAAATTCACTTCAAAAAAATTCTGGCTGGAGGGCTCTCATTTGAACCCACTCAATGTATAACATGGTTACGCCCTTGGATGTACTGTATGGGTGATTGGACATTTCATTCAGATGGTTTAGGTTGGCAGTTTGATCATGAGTATTATAGCACCCATCATGGTTAATCCTTCAGTCACAAATCCACAACTATTCGGTACTTGCTGCCTTTATTGAATACAAGGCGCCCCAAGGTCGCTTTACATGGGTGTGTGGTGAGTGGTGTGTAGATTACAAGATCAAGACGATCCGGCGCGTATAGAGGGGCACTGCACGTTCTGCACCTCTGGCAGGACAATCGTCAGGCACTTCTGCAGCAGGTCCAGATCCTTGTTGGTGCAGCCTTTGTTGTTGCAGGAGTTGGATTGTGGTCCAGGCCCTTTCCACTGCTTTAGACACTGGTTGAATTCATAAGTTCAGCCCATCTTGGCAGTGCAGTGTACACTCAGATTGGTCAGGTCTTCCTGTTCCACAGATGACTGGCATCCGGGACATTTCATATAGGCTAAGCATAGAGAAATCTAAGTTACCTTGTTTACTGCATCCGACAAAATAGTGTTAAAAAACTAGGATAATCCCTGAGGTTTCACTAAGTTCTTTTGTCAAGGATCAACCCCGGGGATCCCCGAGTGACGTCAGGAAGACCACGCCCCCAGGTAAACCCTGACCAGTTACACGTTGTCTGCCTGGGTTACGTGCTTCTGCACCGGTTTTTCTGGTTTTTCTGGTTCTTGTGCAACCATGCCTCTCAGCTGATTCCTGCTCTAATCAGTGGATTCTATTTAGTTCGTCTGATCTTGCACTCCAACGCGAGATTTTCATGGTTTGTCCTGAGTTCTTCTGTCTGGTTCTCTTGACCTCGCTTCCGTCTTCATATTCTGAGACCTGCCTGCCCCCTGGAACTCCGACATACATCGCCCGACCATCGCCTGTTTTCCGACTACGGATTTTGTCTTTCGATTTGAACATTGTGGCACCACCCAGCTGTTTACCTCGTCGCCACTCTCGAGTTTTGCCATGCCCAAGATAAAGCCGGTTTTCATCCCTGAATCCGCATTCCCTGATATCTATAGCTGCAAGACTTGTATATAAATATATAACAAGTTTACAAGTACAAGTTTATCAAGTGCAATAATCCATCCATTTCCCATAACTACTTATCCACATTGTAATAAGATTCACAGTCAAGTACAATTTCTTAAAGATGAGTCAGTAATGCTTACAGGCACAATCAGACTGGTGGTGATTATCTCACACACTATAATACTTACTGATTTATATTCATGGAAAATTGCAGCAGCCAGAGCTGCCATACTCTCCTCAAAATGTCTCTGCTCTGTCTGTCAGCACTGCCATTTTCCGAACCTCCTGGTAGGGCCACTCCTTCCCACACTTCTGATTCCCTCCATCCTTCAGAGCTGGACATGTGAACTTGTACTGACCCTACAGTTTGGAAAACTTCAGTTAGAGGGAGAAACCCTGTAAATGCAATCAGAATGCTGAATAGATACAAAGTTGCTTTAAAGAGAAACAGAAAGGGCTAATATGGTAACTAAATAAAGCATCACACATTATCAAGGAGGCTTCGACACCAAGCGGTCAGAGACTATGGGCTGACAGCGTGTCCACAGGACATTTCTACCCTCAGGGTCTCTGAGTCATCATCAAGGGCTACAGACAAAGTGCATTATCACAAAAACTATAGACCACTGTATACCACCCTCAGACATCATGATATATGTCAGGCAACAGATTTTTGTCCCCATATATTATATAAATAAATAGATAAAATAGTAACGTTACATGTTTTGAACAAGAATGCTACATTCACCATATTTTGTACCAATCCTGTCAGGCTCAGCACTGACTATCCAAGTCTTTCATGCCTTCTCCCCATTTGGCCAGCAGGTGTCGCTGGCCATCCGTTGTCAGTCTTTAGTGTGTTTCCCCTGTTTCTCCAGTCGGCTGCATGGCTCAATGAGCTGAGCATGTGGCTCCCTGTAATCCCCTTAATTGTGTGTTAAAATCCTGTGTCCTCTGTTTTTGGCTTTTGTAGATTTTGGTCCTTACTGTTTCATTTGTATCAGTTTTTCTAGTTCTTGTGTTTTGTGACTTGTATTTGATTTTGGTTTTCTGCTTTGTGCCCATGGTTGTGTTTTAACTGTCTTTGTTATTCCCCAGTATCACATTCTCTTTCCTTCCTTCTGTCACTTTCTTAGTTTCCCCGATTGATCTCCAAGTTCCTTGAGAAAATTATTAATGTCACCCGTTGCCTGTTCTTGTGCCAGTCCTTATGAGTTCAACCTGATTGCTCGTTGTCCTGCACCCTCCCTGACTAGTTAATTGTTTCATGTCTCACTCATCCTGTATCATTAACTATCTTGGTTGTGTATTTAGGTTCCTGCCTTGGTTCAGTTCCTGTGTGAGTCATTGTTTTTCATGTGCATTTCAGTAGGTGTGTTTCAGAATGTTAGATGTTCCCCTGTGTTGTTTAATTTTTTGTATTTTCTTCCATGCCTGCCTGCTCCTTGTTGTCCTGACCTTTTTGTAGTTAGTCTTTGTCCTATTTTGTTTTTGACCCCTCGTGGTCCGTATGTGTGTGTGTGTTTTCTATTGTTTCTGTGAATAAACCCCTGTTGTGTTACTGGAGCCGCCAGTGGATCATCCACCTTCTTCCTTGCCTGCACCATACCCCGCCCCTGTGACAGTAACACTCGAGTTCGTGACAGATCCTAACACAGACCCAGAGAGTATTACGTGTTCCAGCATCCTCAAAAAGTTACAAGTATCCTATGTAATGAGATTAAAAAATAAGGTATTTGAAACACTGCACACATTATTATCATGTACTGATGGTAGCTCTCCTTCTCATGAACTTGATGGTTCTGTCCTTGAGATCATAGACTGCGGGCAAGCTATCTGCGATTTGCCGATGTTCTGACGAGTTCAGCTACCTATCCAGACTGCTATCGAGCATTTCTGCGCAAGTGTAGTTCCACCGTCTGGGGGTTAGGGTTAGGGTAAGGGTTTTAGGGGTGTTTGGGGGGTTAGGGTTTGGGTTAGGGTTAGGGCTAGGGCTATCGATTAGCACTACGGTAGCCTAACTCGACAAAGTAGCTCAACACCGATACACGGTAAAATCATCCGCGTTTAAAATGTGGTGCATGCATGGACTGAACATTACGGTATCAGCTCGCTTTTAGAAAAATATTTTTTAGAAAATAAGACTAAGCGATCTCGTTTAAGAAAAGGGTGATTTATACTTATATTTACGAAGTACAGGGTGTACAGATATACCATCTGAAAGGTAAGGTCCAAGGCTATTTCCAGACAAAATGAGTTCACCTTTTACTGTGCCATTTACAAGAAAAGGCACTTTGAAATCCAGGTTATTTTGTCTTATGGGCCAAGTTTGACAGGACATTTCTCAGAATTTTCTCATAATGTATAAAAAAAGTCTTTCACTCGCTGAAAGGCAAGGTCCTAGGCTATTTCCAAATATATACGTATCTATCATCATCTCCTTTGCCTCTAAAATTGCTTTATTTTGAAGGTGGAGTGCTTGCTCTGCAGTAAGGAGCTGGTGAATGTTTTTTGCTTGGTTTTTCCCCCTCATTTTATTCAACAGTGAACACATTACAAATGTACGTTATATGTATTCACCAGTAGGTGTCACTAGTGCACAGCGTATTGAATGAAGCTTCAATGAATGAAGCTTTTGGAGAATCGATTGGCTGGAAAGTCTCACTGCTTCAGAAAGCCTAATTTCCCCATCACAAATAGAGTCCATCTGCCTAACTTCCAACGGCTTATCCTGGATAGGGTTGTGGGGAGCCAGGAGCCCATCCCAGGCAGCACTGGACAAAAAGGCAGGGAAACAGCCTGGATGGCATGTCAGTTTGTTGCTGTATAGATAATTTTAAGAGGCCAATTTTCCTGACTGGGAAAAGGCCAGGAAATGCTGGGGACTTCATACTGCCCTTGTTCACCTTTCTAAGCACCTCTTTCCTTCCCCCCTTACATGAGCCTGGCACTAATTAGGAAACCCCAACTTGGTTTTCAGCTTCTCTGAAGTTCCCCACAGCTAGACCACACCAATACCAATCTCAGGACTTACCCATGGGTCGACCACAGCAACACCTAATCCTGAGACCCCTCAAACCGCCTTTGTAGGATTATAAAACCCCCATTGTCTATTAAACATCAGCCTTTCAGAGTCTCTGGACTGATTCTTGTAAAGGATCCATTACATAGGTTTTTTTGTATTGACACTCTGCCATATACAGTACAGTTAATAACTATTTGAATAATGGCATTATTATTTTATTATTATTATTATTATTATTGCTCTGTACACCATTAAAATGCATTTTCAGACATGAATGCTTAAATTACAGCCTCTATACAATAAAACCTCAGTTTTCTGAGTCTTCATCTCATTAAAGCGGTTCGGTAATGTCGTAATATATTAGTTTTTATTAGCTGTAACTGATATGCGTAGGAATGAATGTTAACGTTATGTTTTCCTATTATATTATCTGAAAAAGCGGACAAGTAGAGGTATTACGCGAACAGCGCGGTTTGCTGTTGCCTTTATATGAAGTCCCAGGCTTTCGCACAGTCTCGCGAGAGTGGCGCGTAGCGGAGCGCCCACGGTCAGCGTGACGTTAGACGGAGATCGGAATACGACCATGGAGGTTAGTGTCACGGTACTGAGTTCTGGACCCTACGGTGTTTAAAGTTCTGCGTATTTTTATTGCGCATCATCGCTAATAATTACTTGTCTGTTAGGAAGAAAACTTGCAGTGTTACGTTTCTTTGCCGACTATATCTGTAGCTGAACGTTTATGATCAGTTGTTTTTAAAAAATACAATACTGTGCAAAGAATGCTTCCTCAGATATATGTCTTGCATGTCGTCCCTTTTGGATGTGACGTATATTTGTGTCATGAGAAATTATAGATATACAAAGTAAACAAAAACTGACGTATATATAGCGTATATATATATATATATATATATAAAAAAAAAACTGGAACGTCATTTGGCACTGCCATTGGCGCTCTGGTAACACCGACAACAGAGAAGTATTCCATGAAAGACGAACTGAAAGTGCAAAGGTTATCCTTTGTCAACTACTGAATCAGTATATTACAGCTGTGGAGCATGGTGGTAATTTGTCTTGCAGGTTCCAAAAAAGCTTCTGAATTCAGTGGACAGCTGTGTGGATGAGGCGCTGTCGGGGATCATAAGCAGCAACAGTGGGCTGTCCCTGCTTAAGGGCCACAGGGTGGTGGTGCGTTCCGACCTTGAGACTCTGAGGAACCGAGTGGCATTGGTGTCAGGAGGCGGCTCTGGACATGAACCGGCACACGCAGGTAATGCATGGGTGCATGAAGCGTAACTGGCCCACTGTTCTTATGGGTCACCTCCTAAAATCACGGGACTCTAAATTGCTTGTGGTGTGTGGTTGTGTGTGTCCGCCACAGTGACAGTGACACTGCGACAGTGTGTTGGATAAAGGGAGAGGAAAGAGGGATGCATGGTAATGATTTTCAGGCCAGTTCAAACTGAGAGTTGGTGTTACCTGTTATTTTGTTTTTAAGATAAAACTTCATTTATACCAAGGGAAATTATTGACAATTTAGGGACAAACAGTCCAAGGAAAGAAGAGAGTGAAGTTATTAATTGTCATTGTTGACACACTATAGCACAACAACAGAATGTGTCCCCTGCATTTAGCCCATGTGTGACATCGTGGAGGGCAGCTATTATTCAGCGCCTGGGGAGCAGTACCTTGCTGGTCTGGGATTTGATCACAAGCACGCTTCCGTAATCATTAGGCCAGGAAAAAAAACACAATCGAGTGTAAAGGAGAGAGGATTTTGATTGACTGTCTTTGTCCGTATCCTGCAGGGTACGTGGGAGCGGGGATGCTGTCGGCGGCAGTGGCCGGCTCCGTGTTTGCTTCCCCCCCACCCAGCAGCGTGCTGGCTGCCATCCTCACCCTCCGGCAGGCTGGGGCCAGCGGGGTGCTGCTCATCGTGAAGAATTACACTGGTGACCGGCTCAACTTCGGCCTGGCGTTGGAGCAGGCCCGGGCCCGGGGTGTGCCAGTCGCCATGGTGATCGTTGCTGACGATTGCGCCTTTGTCCAGCCCAGCAAGGCAGGGCGGAGGGGCCTTTGCGGCACTCTGCTTATTCACAAGGTAATCCAGCACACCGTGGTTACACACGACGGTTATGCCTATTCCTTTGAACCACTTGCTTTATTTATACTGATGGTCAGTCCTCCAGATGCTGGGCTTTTAGTGTCGGCTGCTAGATATCACCACACCAGTGCTGAATTTCGTGTCCACGGAAATTGACCAACAGGTCGTTATACTTAATTATTTTGCAGATGGCTGGGGCTCTGGCTGAAGAGGGCCGTTCATTGGACGAGATTGTCACCATAGTAACAGAAGCAGTGAAGGACATCGGTGAGAGTGACGCCTGCGAGTCCCATGGCTTCATGAGAGTCCTGGTGAGTCTGCGGCAGCGTAAGTGACTCGGTGTGACATGGGTGTTATGCTTGTTTCCAGGCACCCTGGGAGTCAGCATGTCCCCATGCAGTGTCCCTGGCTGTGTGCCCTCCTTTGAACTGCCCCCAGGGGAGATGGAGCTGGGCTTGGGTGTGTACATTTGTTTTTAATCATGCTGTCAGCTTGCACATGCAGTTATACTCAAACATCTGCAAGGAAAGAACTTAAATGTCCATCTTAATTGAGGCTGACTTTTCGAAATTAAGGATTTAATTGTTTCTGAGAACCCCGTGTAGATTGTCAGATTCTAACATTCTCCACCTGCTGCGTTCTCTGTCTGTATACCTGTCTCTCTGGCCAACCCAGGAATACATGGGGAAGCAGGCATACAAAGATTAAAGGTCAGTGTGCCGGAGTCATGTGTAGCATGCTAGTACTTTATATGGGTAATCGACTATGATGCTTGGCTAATTTAATGCTTCATTTGATTGGTTTCTTGCCTTCTAGATTGGCTCAGCAGATGAGGTAGTGAAGATTATGATAGATCACATGACTAATCCCACCAGCCAATCACACCTGCCACTTAATACAGGTAGGTGCAAAGCAGCAATTTCACTTCCAATTCTCTCATCATTGCAGAAAAATTGCACTATTCTTATACAACACAAATTATGTTACAATGTTTTTGGTGTTTACAAAAGCAGATGGCACCAAATGACTTGCTGTGGTTTGATTTTTGTGATAATTTTACGGTACTTTTTCCTCTCTATGGCTGTCACTATTATTATTATTATTATTATTATTATTGATTATATCAATAATCAAGTAATCGTTTACATTATGTATATAGGTTGCATTTGTCACAGAGCAGGAGCCTTGTTTCTGGGCGGTAGAAGGAAATCGGTGAATCCACCAAAAAGCCACGCCCACATGGGCTGAAAATGCAAACTCTTTACCCACGATGTTCTGCGACATTGCTACCCGCCGCACCACGGTGCCTTCCTTAATACTAGACTTGCACAATATACAATGTTAATATCGACATGGAATAATATCACATATATTAACCACATGCAGCCAACTCATCGCAAGGATCAAACTATCAATAAGTTGCACTAGAACATTTTTGATAGTCATTTTTGATAGATATAAATAAAATTTAGCACGCTTTTCAATTTTAACCATGGTTCTTTTTCAGTATTATGTAATTTATGTTTAAAAAAAAATCAGTCTACAGTTTACAGCTTTTTCATGAGCTCTGCATTCAGTCCCTGAGACAATCTTAATCGTTTTCGTCCTTGCTGTTTGATTCAGAGATCATGTGGCGCATTCGTGAGAAATTAAGCAAAACAAGCGAAAACAAGCCAAGAAAAGTATGATGAAAAGACGTACATTCTGCTGTGTGGAAATATATCTTGATAGAGAGCAAAGGCGGTGGTACCCCGACGTGACTTTGCTAATGGCAATATCACCGACTTTGTTAAACAGACTGTTGTAGATAATTAAGTTCTCTTTGGTTATATAGTTAATTTTCAACTCTTAAATTTTGCAAAAATTAAAAATATCATTTATCCCTGCTCAAAACACAATGTATTCACCAAAAAATATTATCATATGGTTTATATATCATATTACGTAAGATGATGAGGCTACGCAACAGGGCTAACCTTTGTTTTAGCAGAGATTATTCTGACATAGAGGAATCGTAGACAGTAAATTAAGCTGATTCAAAATACACAATTTAGGGACAAACAGTCCCTAGGGACAAACAGTCCCCTGATTCAAAATACAAGTCACGAAAAAAAAAGGCTAGTCTAATCCGAGAGGCTAAATAGCATATCTCTGGCTAACCCGCATTATTGGGTGAGTCCGTCAAATGTGGAAATCTTATAGATGTATTCGTATTGAAGTCGAGCTGTGGTGATTTGTATGCTCTACAATACTGACAGTCGGCTGCACTTTCATTCACTTATAATGTTAAGTGCTTCCACACAACAGATGGGTTTCGTTTATTTTCACCTTCTTCCGCTATGTGCCGTCTCCCTTCCGCCATATTGTTGTAAAATCGAGAATGAAACTTTTAATCGATGCTTTTTAATGATCAAGTAATGGAGTTTGAGTAACAGCTCCGTTCCCCTCTAGTGTAGCGGGAGGCTGGTGCTCGCTGCACATTGTCACAGCACAGTCATTTTCTTATAATTGTTTATGGTGCACTTCTGCAGGGGACACCGTGGTGCTCTGTGTGAATAACCTGGGAGCCTTGTCCTGTCTGGAGATGGCCGTGGTGACCAGAGCTGCCCTAACCTGCCTGGGTAAGGCTGATGTCTTCCACTGACATTATGTTATTGAGGTTTTCTCCTCTGCAGTCAGCGGTCTCCTTGCTGGGCAGTGCAGGGTTTCCACATGTCCTGGAACACTTGAAAAACATGATCTTTTAAGTACATTTTCCAGTCATGGAAAATGAAATATCTACATGTCCTGGAAAATAAATGGGTCGACCTTAAATTTTTACATGGACAATAAAATTATAACCTACTCATGTTTTGAAGTTGTAGGGTTTTATAAAAGTTGACCACTGTATATGTTTTTCAGTAGGCTAATGCCGAATCTGAATCCCTCTTTTGGTAGCAAGTGTAGCTGGTCAGAACTACCATATTTGCATGAATATATGGGCAGGACAAAAAAATTCAATTATTTTTTTGTGGAAAAAAATCTTTACACTGTAATTATATATTTTACTGTTTGCCTAAATCATAACTACCAAGCACGCAAACATACCTTAAGATGTTATTTTACCGACATATACGAGACCCACACCTAGGTTTAGAAGCCTGACAAAGTTCTTATGTTCTGTGTAATGCACGTTATATTTTGTTTCATTCTGTACTTCATTCCACAGGCAGCAATAACATTACTTAAAAAGTTATATAAGTGAAATTAATGGAATATGGTGAAGATGCACAGCTGACGAGCAAAGTGTCTGCTAGCCCCTGGGCTGCACACGCACAGTCCAAGCAGACACCATTGATGATGCAATTTATTTTTTGCACATTGTGCTCAGACGGTAATGCGAACAATTGGACTTAATGTTCAAATCTTGATGTAAGCAGCGTGTCATCATTTGTTGTTGTCTTTTCATTTTTGTCGGGATTTGCCCAACTTTCAGAGGGGCGTGGCGTTCGCGTCGCCCGGGTCACGTCTGGGACGTTCATGACATCGCTGGAGATGACCGGCGTGTCTCTCACACTCATGCGGACTGACGAGGAAAGGCTGCGGCTTTTCGGTGAGCTTCATCACAGGCCTGCTGCAGCGCCACAGGAAATCCAGCTCGCAATTAAAATAAAATGCGAGACACATGCACATAAATACAGATACATTGCAGATCTGCAGCAGCACATCCCATAATGACCGTTAATTTTATATTTAGCTCTCTAGGCGTTTTTTCCAGCCACTGGTGGTGTACATGAGTGTTGTCTGTCATTTTCTGTATGGTCAGTAGTTATAAACACATGTAAGCAACCGTATGTTTTGCTCTCTAGATGCTAAAACCACAGCCCCCAACTGGCCCAACCTCAGCCGTGGTGCGGTGAGCGGACGGAACTGCATTGTGGAGCTGCCGAAGAGTGTCTTAGCTACAGAGCTGTCAGCAGAAAAAGAAGGTGTGTAGTAAAGTGAGTAGTGTTACTGACTAGACCATATTTCAGCCTGGGGTCCGGTGAGTGGAGTGCAGGTGCCTGAGTACCAAAATGGGCTTTTATTGGGTGTCATGTGGAAACAGCCTGATTTGTTGCCTGTCCCTTCTGCTAAATGAATGTGAACGAATGTTACATTCATATAGCACCTTTCCAGACAGCCGAAGCGATTTACAGAACCAATGGGGAGCCACTTCAACTGCAACCCCTGTGTAACACCCACCTGGATGATGCGACGGCAGCCATACTGGGAGCGTACTGGGGGCAGGAGAGGATTCTCCAGTTAGATGCAGGGGGTGATTAGGAGGCCAGATTTGACAGGAACACAGTGGGCAACTTTAGGCAGGACGTCGGGGTACCACCCCCTACTCTTTTAGAAAGATGCCCAGGGATCTTTTTTATGATCTCAGGTATCCTGTACCTTGGTTTTACGTCTCTTCCAAAGGATGTCGCCATTTTTACAGCACACTCCCCCTGGCGCTGCACTGGGATTTTGGGGGCCACACAGACTACAGCATGGGCTAATTTGTTGGCCAAACAAACAGCAACCCAGCTTTCCTAGTTGGTCTGTCATCAAAGTACTGGCCAGGCCCAGACCCGCTTAATTTCAGTTCGATTACCTTGTCTGAACTGCAGGTGGTATGGTTTGGTGGGACAGATCTTTGTGGACAGCCACGGGGAACTATGATGATTCTGTGTCACTCCCACTTCCTGTACTCGGTAGAGTAGTTCTGTGGTTATATACAGTTTTAAGGAATACACCCCGTAATTTGACATAAGTCAATTCAGAACCACTTGTCCAGGAGCTGGTGGAAGATTGTTGTGAGCGGACCAGATTTTAGAGGAAGCTTGCGACAAAAGCCACCCAGAGGTCTGTCAGCCATGAATAGCTTCTCTCCGCAGGTCCTCTCAGTGCTGTGACACGAAGAGTTCTGGAAGCAGTTTGTACTACTCTGCTGAATCAGCGGGAGGAGCTGAACACCTTGGATCGTGCATCAGGGGACGGGGACTGCGGGAACACACATGCACTCGCTGCACGTGGTGCGTCATGGACAAACACGCACATGTGAAGGCCGCTCTGTAGATGAACTTGCATCAGCAGAGTGTCCACTGGTCTCTAAATGAGTGGTTGATTCCTTTTTCCACAGCCATCCAAGAGTGGATCCATAGTCATGTGATCCCGGGTTGCCCAGGGAAGGTTCTGTCTGCCCTCGCCGGATTGGTGCAGGAGCACATGGGCGGGTCTTCTGGGGCGGTTCGTAATTTCAAAGGATAGATTTTTAGTCACTATGTGACTGACTGATCAACACATTATATTTTGTATTAGAAGAGCTATGCAATCTCATCCCTGGTGTTCAACAGCCTATCCAGTGTATAGATGGAAAGGAACTATTACTTTCTAAGAATAAATAATAGTCAGAGTTGGGTAATTCAGGTCCAGAGAGTAAAAGTCCAGACTGGGATTTTGTTTCAACCAACCAGCTGAGTACTCTGTGAATGTGACTCTTTATGCTCAACTGGTTGGTTGAAACAAAATCTTGGTCTGGACTTTTACTCTCTGGACCTGAATTACCCAACTCTAATAATAGTTATTCTCTTACAATATATGTTGTGCATTATTAGCTTTTAGCACCATTAGCATGACATTTTACCATTTAATCCCACCAGCTGTACAGCCTGTTTTTAACAGCCGCTGCAACCCCTCTGAGTGGACGTAGTGACTCTGCAGCCTGGGCTGATGCATTGCATGCTGGGACAGAGGCTATGAGGAGGTGAAGGCCTGCTCTGTTATCGCGTGTAATAATGGGACGGCAGTTTATGTCTTGTTTTTTTCCAGGAATGGAATGTATGTGTAATAGGATTCTTTGCTTTCCTGGATAAAAATCCGTTACTTGTGTTTTACTTTAATATTTTTTCAAACATGGTTCCGTGAGGTGACCTAAAGTTACTCTAAGTGTTGTTTGGCTGTATTGTAGTCAACTTCATTGTCTCTTTCTTGCAGGTATGGAGGAGCAGATCCTGGTGACCGAACCATGGTAAGTTTGCATGCATCTTTGAGCATGGTTCTCGTATACCCAGTTCTGAGATGACCCACTTTCCACAGCTTGATGCCCTTTGCCCAGCACTTGATGAACTGAGGAAACTTTCAGAGGTGCCCCCTGGTGGTGAGATGGCTATTTGGCAGGCTGCCGTGCAGGTAAGAAAACGCATGTCTTGTAAATTAGTGCTTTGTTACTGGGGATAAGAGGGAAAATGTACCTGCAAAACTTAATAATCATTTATAACCTCAGAATGCCAGCTGTAAAACATTACTGTTGTATGCCATCAATGTAGATGAGAATAGCTTCTGAAGTGAAGGAATTTTATGTTATATGGTAGGCCGCGTAAAATCACAAAGTGGGGACAACGCATGCTGAGGCACACAGTGTGCAGAAGTCACCAACTGTCTGCAGAGTCAACAGCTACAGACCTCCAAACTTTATGTGGCCTTCAGATTAGCTCAAGAACAGTGCATAGAGAACTTCATGGAATCAGTCTCCGTGGCCAAGCAGCTGTATCCAATTCAATGCTCCCAACTTTGTGGGAACAGTTTGGGGATGGCCCCTTCCTGTTCCAACATGACTGTGCACCAGTGCATAAGGACATGGATGAGTGAGTCTGTTGTGGTTGTGGAGGAACTTGAATGGCCTGCACAGAGCACTGATCAAAACCCAATAGAACACCTTTGGGATGAATTAGAGTAGAGACTGTGAGCCAGGCCTTCTCATCCAACATCAGTGCCTGACCTCACAGATGCTTTCCTGGAAGAATGGTCAAAAATTCCCATAAACACTCTCCTAAACCTTGTGGACAGCCTTCCCAGAAGAGCTGAAGCTGTTATAGATGCAAATAGTGGGCCGACTCCATATTAAAGCCTATGTCATTAAAATTCATGTGCGTGTAAAGGCAGGTGTCCCAGTACTTTGGCAATATAGTGTATATACACTACCACCCGCCCCCCCCCCCAATCTGGAAAACAGTGGGAATTTAAATTGAAAAAAGTATAGTAACCCCATACTTATTAGAGCTGTGCTACAGCAATACAGACGCTCCTCTACTTACAAACTTTCAACTTACAGTCCTCTTCGTTCGTATGTCTGAAAGTTTGTAAGTCCAAATTGTGTTAGTTGGGCTCCCGTTTCCTGTCTGCAACATCTTTTTTATTTTGTGTGCCAATTCCAGGTAGCATGACTTCTGGCCGCTACTCCCACCGCGCAGCAGCGTAGCGTGCGTACTCCCAGCATCTTAGTTCTTTGTACTTGCGTATACCCTTCTAAGGATGTTGAATGACGACTTACAAACATTACAAGTCACGAACGGCCGTTCGGAACGTATCTCGTTCGTAAGTAGAGCAGCGTCTGTACTACTAAGCAATTCCAGTTTCCTCTCATACTATAAGGACTTGCAGTTCAACTGATTAGTGTCCATGAATTGCCCATAGTTTGTGTATTTTATTTAGAAGTTGCTTTAGCCAAAAATGATGTACAAGTGAGAGGGCAGCGTCAGCCAGCCTCATGGTGACACAACAGTGAAATGACCATGGGATTTGTGTGTGTGTGTGTGTGCGTGTGCGTGTTTGTGTGTGTGTGCGCGCCCACTCTGCGATGGACTAGCATTTTGTCCAGGGTGTCCTCCAACCTTGTGACCTGTACTGCCTGGAACAGACTCCATGCCCACCATGACCAGGAGAGACAGTTAGAAGATGGATGGATGGATGGATGGATGGATAACAGGCGAAAAAAAGATTTTTAAAGACTAAAGTGAAGGCAATGTTTCTCTGTTATCATTGGCACAACTTTCCATTGTTGATAAAGCCCACAGAGTCCCAAGCAGTAGACCTGCCATCTCAGGAAATAGGGCAGGAATCCAGACCACCAGTCTAATTGATTGAAATATTAATATTAAAATTAACCTTAATCTTTAAGCTAAATATAATGCAGTTCAGTGTGACTGATTATTTTTTCATGCTTTAATAGTCCCTGTTTTCTCCCTTCCCCCCACCCCTATAGAAAGCTGAGTCTGGGGCAGAGTCCACACGTAACCTAACGGCAAGGGCGGGTCGAGCCAGTTACGTCGCTGCCGAGCGGGTGACGCTGCCTGATCCCGGTGCCGTTGCCGTGGCCGCCATCCTTCGGACAGTGATCGCCGCTTTAGGCAGTGACAAGTAGGAGCGGCGGAGACGGCGGTGTTGAGGATGGCTGCGATGGAAGCCTTTAGAGCTGGACCAATTTTACTCCTTCCTACAAACATGAAAAGCAGTGAATAAACTCGAATAAAAGATCAGTGAAGGGAGACGCGATAACATGTCACCCTTCTGTTTCAAATTACTATTACATCATGATCTTGTTTTAGCAAACTGACAGCAGGGGAAAAGTATCTTTGGCTAGTTCCACATTTGCTACTCTATGACGTATGGACAGAAGAAAATTGCAATAATGGAATTTGATTGCAGCCCTGAAATTAACCTGCATACTGTTAAAAAAAATACTAAAATCGATGCTGTAGTGTATTAAAGCTACAAAATAAATTTATTTTACAAAAAGTTTATGGTCATCTGCATAGTCGTGAATGGATGTCTCTGTTTAATGTTCCATGCAGTGCCTTGAACTTATCCAGACATTCTAAGACGGTGTCATTGCTGCAGATGCTGGCATGCAGTACTACCAGGGTTTAAACGAAGGGGTAGTGGCTGTGTTTCATAGATAACCAGTTAGTAACCACAGATTGACACATTGCTAACAATCGACCAGTGCTGTTGAATTTGTTTTTTAGTGGGGCGTAATTAGCTGTCTGATGGGAATGAGCAGATGTTTCCGTGTGGGCATGCCGTCTCTACCTGCTTGTTTCTCTTGGGTGGAAAAAAAACCCTGTTTTTAAACTGACATTTGCCTACTGGGGATTTTTATACTTTTCATTTTTCAAACACTTTTGCACTTAAAGCTGATTAAAAGGTAATTTTTTTAGGTGTGTGAAAAACTCTGTGTGTGTGTATCTCTGCTTTATTTTACCGGTCGTTACTATCTTCCCACCACTTTTGCATCAAATGTTTTTTTTTCTGCTTTGGTTTTATCTTCCCCCACCTCCGCGCTCGCTTCACTTCCTGCGCCACAATCACAGTGAGACGAGCAGAAAGCTTCGTCCGGACTAAGAATCTACGACGACGTCTCCGATACCAACTGCTGGGGCTGGCTTGCTCTGTTTCTGAGCCGGTTCTGTTAACAGCAGTCAGTTACACACCTCGCTGCAGGGTCAAGGTACGCCGAGAGTGCCGCAAGAATTCGTAGAGGTCACATGACATGGGCGTTGAGGAGCTGAACCTCTAAGTCTGAGCAACAAGAAAGTGCGTGTAAATTTACACCGGTAAGTAGCCTGTACAGTGATCAGTGTTCAGCATTTCTAAACATGATGGCTAACAGACTACGATCACCACATATTACAGAATGACAGAAGAGCTTTTCTATTGTGTAATTATTAGACATGTTGGCCATGAATTTTATTCTAAAGGAGCTTTATGGTTTCATTTACCTTCTCTCTTGCTGAATCAGCAGAAATTCACAACAGGATACGATTATAGAAAAGAGCAAATCAACAGTGCGGTCTGTGTGGGGAACAGAAATTCATTCTTATGATGAAATTACTGGTGCAAACATAGATGTACATAACCTAGTTTCCTCCAGGGGTCTCAGCAGCAGTGAAGGATGCAGGTCTTGCAGCTCAGACTCCATCGACGCCTGCATCAGCCAAAGAGACTCTTGGGCGGTGGGGGGGAGTCAATGTAAATAAAAGCATTTGGCGGCTACAGGAAAGCAGACGGCAAGTCATAAAACATAAAGGAAAATTAAGTATAGAACCTCAGTCAGGGGGGTTTGGTAGGAAACACGGATGCATCACACCTCAAGGGTTGGCAGTCTACCTGTCTCTGATGTAATAACTACCAATAATGAGGTAACTTGCCAAGAAAGTAATGTTTCTCCATTTTTAATTCGACAAAAATCAATAATGTAACAACTGGCTAATAATGTAATAACATTATTTTATTGGGAAAAAGTTATGTTATTGCTTTGCTTGCAGCGACAAAAGTCAAACCAAATGTTTTTTACGTTATTGGTTGCAAATTTCCGTGACACAATACAACTGCGATGACACATTCTATTCTGTTCAGAAAATGTATTACATTAAGAATGGAAAAATGGTTACGTTATTGGCAGTTGTTACATCATTAACTGCTACAGACCCTAAACGGAATAAGATGAATGGGGAAAAAAACAGTAATTTCTGTAATATCTGTCCATTCTTCCGTCTTTCTCTTATAATCTTCTCCTTCTCTCCCATTCTTTTAGTCACGCGTGTGATCCCGTCTCTCCCTAGATCAGGTAAAGGTTGCCTGTGGTCCATTTCTGTGTGAATGAGGTGCCTGACACTGTCTCTAGCTGATGGAGTTTGCTTGTAGCCATGTGGTGTGCAACTGGAGACCTGAGAGTGTCACATCAGGTAGGACTGCAAATGTTCCTTTCCGGGTTTTTTTTTGTAATTCTATGTTTCTTCACATAGAACACTTTATACGTTGTTTTGTACTGAGGGTCCTGCTTTATTTTGCTAGGCGCCGGCCAGAATCTCACAAATCTCAGTTGGGAGACCAGCTCCACCTCCTCAAGGCCTCGCTCCGTCTGCGAACACGACTATGACAACCGCATATCCGTCCTCCCCAAAACCGGTAAAGTACTGAACGCCAGTCGTGATGCATCTGGGGCCGTGCCAGTCACAGTGTAGACCACAGCAATCGTGACGAAGCTGACCACTCACCCTAACTCTTGAGTAAAACACTTCTTGTTCAAAAACTCCATGATGGGTTTTCGTGGTTACAAAGAAGAAAAAAAAACATGTAACTCATGTAATTTTACAGTTTTCTGTCTGAGGTGATGACAAACAATAGTTTTCTCATAAAACTGACGTGATGTTTTCTGCTAATCTGTGACATTTTTAAACTTTGAGTAAGTAAAACTGATGAAAAGTACAATTATTATTGGATCGTATTACGTTACTCTGCCAGTCTTTTTTCTCTTGGGCCTGTTAGACACAGGAAGTAGTGCTCCAGCGTACTCACTCTTCCGTCATACATCAGGCAGTAGGCAGACATTCTAACAGCAGTCAAAGAATGTACACACCAGCCAAAGGAGTTATGGGAGAGTTGGGTACCTTGAAATTGAAGGATTACACACTGCAAGTCTGGCACGGGACTTGCACGGGACCAGACACTAGGCATGTCTACGTGCCCAGCTAGTCCTGCAAACTGCTACACGTTTTTCTAAAGTGCACACTTCCTCACATCCCCTAACGAGAATACCCTGCAGTGCAGCATGCGAGACTGCAGCTGCATGCAGCCAGCAGGACGCGCCAGGCCTTGGGGACCGACGGCTGAAAGACAGTGTCACCCAAATTTAGTGCTTTCATTTTTAAATGCTTCCCAGAGTGGCTCACTACTTAATTGCCTCGGTTGTCCTATAGAGCCTTTTCTGGCCCAATTTACGCACTCATTAACCTCAAATGTGTAATGTAGGTTATACACTACCTGTCCAAAAAAAAAGTCGCCATTTGAATTTATATCAGCAAATACTTAAAAGCCAATGACTAGATCATTATTACAGTCCTGCAACATTATGCAGCAATAAAGTAAAGTCAGCTGAGTACCTGAATCTACTGAATGGCCAGGTTACACCTCCATCCATCATCAATGGATTTTTTTCTTCCCTGTTGGCATGGGCATATTCTAGGATGAGAATGCCAAGATTCATTGGGTTTGAATTGTCAAAGAGTGGTTCAGGGAGCATGAGGAATCATTTTCACACGTGACTTGGTCACCTCAGAGTTATGACCTTAACCTCATTGAAGGTCTTTGGGATATGCTGAAGGAGGCTTTATGGTGTGGTTCAACTCACTTGTCAATACAGGATCTTGGTGAGAAATAAATGCAAATCTGGATGAAAATAAAGGGTGAGATGTTGCATAAGCCTGTGGAAACAGTGCCATGATAAATGTGCACCATAATCACAGCTAAAGGAGGTCCAATGAAAAATCCAAATGGCGACTTTTTTTTTGGACGGGCAGTGCATTAAAAGACTTCCGGGGCAGTACTGTGACTCAGTGGGTAGTATTACTGCCACCAGCCTCCAAGGCTCAAACACCTCCGCTGTTCTGTATGTGCCCGTTTGTGTCTGGGAATTTCCTGACCATTTTTGCTTTCTGCCGCAGTCCAAAGACGTGCAGTTATATGAATCGTTGCCATATCCGCCCATAGCATGTGTGCCCTGCACATGGACTGGCGTGTCTCCCCACGTTGTATCTTATGTTGCCTGAGTTACACTCCAGCCCCCTCCCCCCCCCCCAGACCAAGATAAATGGCTAGCAAATGAACATATGATGTCCTTTCAACCAGCATGTGATGTATTTCTAGGAGGTTCAAGACACTAAATGAGTTAGGATCAACCTGGCAGTAACCCACAACATTGCTGATGCCATCTGCTGTGAGTTTAGAGGCATCATTTCTCCTGTCACTCTTTGAATGTTCGTCTTCAAAATTTGCGTTCCTGTCAGGTTCAGCCAGCAGAGGGCGAGCTTTCCAGATTCTCATGTCTCGCTTACCGCTGGAGTGTTTTTTTTACTCTGTGTATCTTCCTGTTTCAGAGCCGCAACTCCTACCACCACCCCTCCCACCTCGGCAGTCATTGCCACAGGCGCCCATGCCACCCCCTTTGCCCCCCCGAGGTATGTCAGTGTTCAGACCTAAGAGGTGCCACAGAGATGTCCATGTATTATAATTTCATAGGACTGATGTGGCAGACTCTCCCCTCACTCCCAGGGCTGGAAGCCAAGGGCGAGACTCGAATCAAGGCCAATGTGAACGTTCTGTCCGTCAACGTGGGTCATCTCGTGGACATCAGCAAAGGTATGAGGGTTAGAGCCTGCCCCCGCCTTTAAGGCGGGAATTTACGGGGTAGCACATCCAGTCCCTAAATTTACTTAAAATGCCGCAGTAAGAATGCACCTCAAAAGACTCAAACCTTGATAAATATGAGATGGGTTCCTTGAGTGTGCGACACATCCTTTATATTGACCTATTGTATTAATTAATCATTGATATATAGTATGCATATTGGGATAAAGAGATATTTTAACCACTTTAGCTAAAATTAGGGTTGGAACACCAACGCTTATCTTAAAGCACATCATAGCTTGGGTTGCATATGGTTTATGAAGTTCTGTCCACCTCTGCTCTTAACCGACGCACTGTTACTCCTCCGTTGGTCTGTCTCTCCTGGCGTTCCCTTGGCCTGCCTTCCTGGGACTTCGTTGTTTCAGCCAATGCCATCCATTGCACGCGGAGCCCGCTGTATTGCTCCAAGTGTAAAGCCGCAATGTCATCCCTGAGCAACCTGCAGAACAAGCAGAACGAAACGGTTAGTGTGGCCGCCGCGTGTCACAAACAGCATGTTCCTCTAGATCAGGGTTCTTCAAATCTGGACCTCGATTCCAAATCCAGGCCGTGTTTTCAGTTCTCCTAGTTAGTTAGTTTAATAATTACTGATTCTGATTGGTCAGAGGCTTCACAGCTGACTGACAGGTAAAGGAAGGCTGGAAAACCAGCAGCGCTCAGATCTCGAAGACCGTGAGTTGAAGAACCCTGTTCTAGATACTTCCTGTACTGCCTGGCTCTACTTGACCCCCTGTCTCCTGTGTCCCTAAGCAGGTGTGGTCATGTGAGTTCTGTGGACAGGAAAACAAGCTCACCAACATGGACCCAGGGATCAGACACTTCTCCCGCCAGACTCTGCCCGGGAGGGACGTTCTTCACCTGACAGAGGACATTGACAAAGACTACATCAACCTGGAGGACATGCTAGTGGTCTTCTGTGTGGACATATCTGGGAGCATGAGTGTCACCTTTGAGGTTGTAGACTGTGTGTCAGCCAAACATTGTGTGTTTTAAATTGATTATAGGGGACATTCACTACAGTCTGATTGGCTTCTTGTAGATAAACTTGCAATATAATTGGTCAGCATTTATATTTTTTATTCCAGTTATGCTAAAATCCTGACAGCATGACTTTAGCTAACACAAAAGAGAAACATTCAGTTTCACTTTGTTGCTGCAAGTAATGCCAAAAATATCCCCTCAAGACAATTAAATTTTATCTTTATTTATTTACAATGAGACAGGATGGCTTGTTGGTTCACACCTTCAGGGCTGGAAGTTCCACTTCCGCTGTGTTGTGTTTTTCTGTCTTCTCTTTGTGTGATGCAGTTGCAAGATGATTGCATTGATAAAGAGATAGGAAGTTGAATGAATATATAAATGTGCTTCTTTGTCCACTTAAAGTAACCGCTTATGCACTCCATGCCGCTTATGCAGTCATGTGGCTGCACATGGACATGCAACTTACCCCGGCTCCCGTGTATATGGACATGTGACTAACCCCGACTCCCGTGTTTATGGACATGTGACTAACCCCGGCTCCCGTGTATACGGACATGTGACTTACCCCGGCTCTCGTGTATATGGACATGCGACTTACCCCGGCTCTCGTGTTTATGGACATGCGACTTACCCCGGCTCCCGTGTATACGGACATGTGACTAACCTCGGCTCCCGTGTATACGGACATGCGACTTACCCCGGCTCTCGTGTTTATGGACATGTGACTAACCCCGGCTCCCGTGTATACGGACATGTGACTAACCTCGGCTCCCGTGTATACGGACATGCGACTTACCCCGGCTCTCGTGTTTATGGACATGTGACTAACCC